ACCTCACCTCCATCGCCGCTGCCCCTTCCGCCTCGGCCTCCGCCCTCCTCGGCCTCCGGCCTGCTCTCGGGTGGCGCCGGGGTCGCCCTCAGGCCGCAACGGTCGGGAATGGGGAAGGGGGGAGGGGAAGGCTGGAGGAGAGGGCCCCGCCCCCCTTCCCTTGCCTCTGTGCCCCCAGTGGGGGTGGGGCGGGGTGTTGTGGGGGGGTCTTTTGGCACCAGACACCCCCCCAGCTCCCCTGGAAGCCATGATTCAGTTGCGAAGGTAGTGGTGGTGGGGGGGAGGAGGAGGAGGAGGAGAGGGCTCCTCCTGAGCAAGGCATGGGGAAAGTCCTTCCTGGGACTACAACGCCCAGCATCCACCGTGGCTGGCGGAGAAGGGCTGATAGGAAACAACCAACCCCTTCCCCCCCCCTTTCTAAGAAAAGCCCACCCTTTCCCGAGCTTCCCTGCTGATCAGGGCCCTCCTAAAGCCGCCGGACTACAACCCCCATCACTCCCTCCCGGCAGGTTCCGTGGGTGGGGAGTTGCCGCCTGGCAGCCCCTCCCTGTGTAGAGAGGAGGTGAGGGTGCGCGCGCGGGGGGGGGGTGTCCAGGAAAGCCAGCAAGCACCCCCCCCCGGGAACCCAGCTTTGGCTCGCTCTTCGCTCTGGGGTGGGGGAGAGAGTTATTGGATTTGGGGGGGGGCTGAGAAGGGGGTCCTAGCAAGGAATGGGGCGAGCTTTTAAAGCCACTGGGACCCTTTTGCAGCAAAACAGTGTCCCGTTGGTGTGCCTGTGCGGGTGTTTCTCCCAATCTGCTCCGTGTAGGCCTGTCTTGCTGGGGGGTGGTGGTGGTGGTGGTTCAAGTCTTAAGGTTTTCCTGCTTCCTTTCCTGCCCACCTAGGAGAAGGGGTTAAGCCAGACAGCTGAGGCTCTGGACCCTTGGAAGAGGCTGCCTTTTGCAGGGGAGTTGACCCCACCGCCCCCTACCCTGCCTGTACTGGTCGGAAGATGGCCTTCCGGGCTCATTTCACCCCCCCCCCATCCATCCCTGTCTTGCCAATTCTGACTGGCAGCAATGGCTCTCGGGAGAGGGGAGGCTTTGGGCACCTCGTTTGCCACCTTGCCCTGGAGATGTTGCTGATGGTGGATCAGCTTGGGTGATTGACATGCAAAGTGAAGACTGACTTCTTTTCCTCTCTCCCCCCCCCCCCCCCCCATGCCCACATAAAGACAGTTGCAAACCATGGACTAAATAGGGTCTCCAGCATCAGCCAGGACCATTTCTCTTACAGTTTAGAGGGAAAGACTCAACAAATGTGTTTTCTACTTGGCCTTTTTTCCCCCTCCTTGGACATAAGAAATATGAGATTTCTATGTTAGTTCCAAATGGATCAAGTTCTGTGTGACTTCAGTTCAAGCTCAGAACGATTCCTGCCTGAACTCCTTGGTTGCTGGGCCGGGAGGAGGGAGTTTCCCTTCCTCTTCTTGCGTTCCTTCTTACACAGCTTTCTTATCCAGAGGCGGTTTTACCTCTTAAGTGGGAGGAGGCACCTGGCCAGCTCTCATCCTTCCCAGCTTGGGCCTTTCCCTGGAGGCATCAGCTTCGATTCACAATTTTGCAGCTGGTTCGGCAGGGTGACGCTTGCATTCTTCGGTTGTGCCAGCAAAAGCTGCTTCTGAGCATGTCCTGCCTCTCCGGTGGCCGCAGGAAGCCTGGGGCTTCTGACCTTGGTGCAGTCCACCCCATTGTCTGCTTTCTGGCCGATAGGCTTTTGGGCGTTTGCCAGCCCCAAATGACATTGCACAATACAGAGGAACTGATTGGAGTCCTCGCCCCTGCCGAGCGAGTTGATTTCATGGGGCAGATCTTCCTCAGGCTCCCTGGCCTTCCTGGGTGTTGGCTACCTACTTAGCTATTCCTTATTGTGCCACAATATTTATTATTTAATTCAAGGGAACTTGTAAGAGGCACCTTGGCTGTGTGTATGTGTGTACGTGCGTGTGTGTGTGTATGAGAGCACACATGCATGTATGAGCGTGCACAGAACAAGAGCAGGTTTTGAGGCTGACTCTGCAGTGGGACTCCTCCCATCCTGCAGGCTTTGCAGAACTGGAGCCACTGAGTCGGCCAAGGCGAGGAAGTGGTTTTGCACCAAAGCATGTAGAGGCTGTTTACAGTTTGTCACCTTATCTCTTCCCAGAGGTGTGGTAGCATCTTGTTGTACATCTAGCCTTCAGGGAGGGTGTTTGAGACACTGTGGGGATCTGAAATGTGGCCCATGGTTGCAACTCCACCTGTAGATTCAATGGGAACGAGAGTGCTAAAAAGGTCTGGGGTGCTCCAGTTGTATTCTGTGGCAAGCCTAGTTTTGCTAACAGGGTGCTGTTTCCATGTAGAGAATCAGTGCACTTTTCCCTCTAGCAGGAAACAAGCAACCTTGTAGGATTTTTTTCCCTTTCTTTTAAAATTCTGCTTTCAGGTGTAGTTTTCAAAGCTTTTCAACTCCTGTGAATTAGCCTTGCTGTACCACCCGTTGTATTAGGGAGTTTGCCTTGAAAGATGGGGTAGGGGAATTGTTGTGGCGGGTCTGTGGCCACTGGACTTGGGTGTGTGTAAAGGCATTGCTGGGCAGTGTGAATGCCAGTGTGAAGCTAGGGAGTTGCTAGTTATCCGATTCCCATCTCAGCTGAGATACTCATTTAAGTAAATACTGTACACACAGCCTGCAGTTCTAGTTTGATAAATATTGTGGCCTCCCTACTTCCTATCTGGATTTGTGCTAGTTTAAGTCATACATTGAAATGTGTGTATGGGTGTGGGGCGGAGGTGGATCAATTGTATAATATACAACACATCGCATGGGAATCAGGCCATTGATCTCTCTACTCCAGTGTTGATGGCTCTTCTAGAAACATGCAGAGTTAACTTAGAGCATCTCTATTCCTGGGCAGCTAACTCCCATTTCTTTCCATAATTTCACAAGCTTCCTCATCCTTGTCTTTATTTGTTAGTAGCTTCCTGGTCGCAGGAAGCCTGGGGCTTCTGACCTTGGTGCAGTCCACCCCATTGTCTGCATTCTGGCCGATAGGCTTTTGGGTGTTTGCCAGCCCCAAATGACATTGCACAATACAGAGGAACTGATTGGAGTCCTCGCCCCTGCCGAGCGAGTTGATTTCATGGGGCAGATCTTCCTCAGGCTCCCTGGCCTTCCTGGGTGTTGGCTACCTACTTAGCTATTCCTTATTGTGCCACAATATTTATTATTTAATTCAAGGGAACTTGTAAGAGGCACCTTGGCTGTGTGTATGTGTGTGTGTGCGTGCGTGTGTGTGTATGAGAGCACACATGCATGTATGAGCGTGCACAGAACAAGAGCAGGTTTTGAGGCTGACTCTGCAGTGGGACTCCTCCCATCCTGCAGGCTTTGCAGAACTGGAGCCACTGAGTCGGCCAAGGCAAGGAAGTGGTTTTGCACCAAAGCATGTAGAGGCTGTTTACAGTTTGTCACCTTATCTCTTCCCAGAGGTGTGGTAGCATCTTGTTGTACATCTAGCCTTCAGGGAGGGTGTTTGAGACACTGTGGGGATCTGAAATGTGGCCCATGGTTGCAACTCCACCTGTAGATTCAATGGGAACGAGAGCGCTAAAAAGGTCTGGGGTGCTCCAGTTGTATTCTGTGGCAAGCCTAGTTTTGCTAACAGGGTGCTGTTTCCATGTAGAGAATCAGTGCACTTTTCCCTCTAGCAGGAAACAAGCAACCTTGTAGGATTTTTTTCCCTTTCTTTTAAAATTCTGCTTTCAGGTGTAGTTTTCAAAGCTTTTCAACTCCTGTGAATTAGCCTTGCTGTACCACCCGTTGTATTAGGGAGTTTGCCTTGAAAGATGGGGTAGGGGAATTGTTGTGGCGGGTCTGTGGCCACTGGACTTGGGTGTGTGTAAAGGCATTGCTGGGCAGTGTGAATGCCAGTGTGAAGCTAGGGAGTTGCTAGTTATCCGATTCCCATCTCAGCTGAGATACTCATTTAAGTAAATACTGTACACACAGCCTGCAGTTCTAGTTTGATAAATATTGTGGCCTCCCCACTTCCTATGTGGATTTGTGCTAGTTTAAGTCATACATTGAAATGTGTGTGTGTGTGTGGGTGTGGGGCGTAGGTGGATCCATTGTATAATATACAACACATCGCATGGGAATCAGGACATTGATCTCTCTACTCCAGTGTTGATGGCTCTTCTAGAAACATGCAGAGTTAACTTAGAGCATCTCTATTCCTGGGCAGCTAACTCCCATTTCTTTCCATAATTTCACAAGCTTCCTCATCCTTGTCTTTATTTGTTAGTAGCTTCCTGGTCCATTGTACCTAGGCTTCTTATTCCCTGTGTCCTCCTTGAAGTAACTCCTCAATAGCAGAAACATGTCTGTCTATCCGGCCCATTTCAGAAGGAGCAGTTTTAAATCACTTTTACTGAGAAAGCAGTTAAAAATAAAAAGTCAGCACTTTTTTTGTGGCTAAGAGAAAATATCCCTTCAATATGCTGGACCATTGCAAGAGCTGAGGGTAGATAAAACGTCCATGTGCATGACTGAACTGAAAGCTGAAGGAACAGGGAGGTAGTGCTTATTTCCTGTCCTCCCTCCCCTGTCCCGAAGGGAAGAGGAAATTTGGTGAGGGATTGGGAAGATGGTTTTACACAAAGGCATCCCAAGACCCAAGTGCCGGAGGATGCTCAAGGGAGTGGATTCCTCTTTAGCGACTCATCCTGCTAATGCATCTCCACCTAGCTGGTGTGGCTGCCCATCCTCCGGAATGGGTAGGGTGTCTTCTGGGGTTGGTTCTGGCTTGGCAGGAAACTTTGCCTTGGGAGCTTAAGTAGCACCTTCAGAAGAAAGAGTCTGACAGGTGCCAGCTTGTTTGGGCAGCTCCCAGTTTGGAGCATTCAACCGTTGGGTTTGCGTTCAAGGATGAGATTCTGCTCCAGGGGGCAGAAATCTCGTGGCTTAGTTAAGTAAGTCAATAACTAGTATTGACCCATTGAATCCATAGGCAATAACTAGTATTGACCCATTGAATCCATGGGGGAGTTGACTCACCCAGTCCCCACTGATTCAGTGTGTCGGACTCACCCAATCCCCACTGATTCAGTGGGTTAACTCTGGTTGCGACTTAACACATTCAGCAACAGGATTTCAGCTACTAAGCCTGTTGGAAAGTGCAGGTGATGGCTTAACAGGAAGTGGGCAAAATAAGCTCCTTCTGGAAAAAAGAAAATATTTATTCCTGTTTCCAAAGGGCTCTTTCAGGAAGCAGGCCTGCCTCTTCCATTGGGCTTTCCTTGTCGAACTTCTCACATGTCCTCAGTGTGAATGTGAACTTTCTGCAGCAGCTCAAGCCAGTTAATCCCTCCTTGTTCCATCATGGTTTGGAATAATCTGTTCTTGGCCTCTTTCTAGCCATTCTTTGTGGAGTTGCAGGAGGGTCCCCCCCGCGCCCTTCCATGTCTCTCGTGGAAGCTTGGAGAGGAAATGTTCTGAGCTCCCATCCTAGGTGCCGTAGTAGTCTAAGCTCTTAGTGGTCTGTGGTTCCTGCATGGGCTGGAGAAGCACTGGCAGACAGTTTCAGCCGCCAAAGTAGAAGACTTTCCCCTTGGAGAATTCCCTCCAATGTTACTTCAGCTTTATTGGGAAAGCACCAAAGTTAAGACCCTGCCAGGTTGGCAGAGCCAAAATATTAGTGAGCTTCCTCCCTGGAAGTTTTGTGGAGACGCCAGGCAAACCTACCTTTAAGGTATTTTGGAACAGGCCAGACCAAAGTTTGCTTGCTGGGGAACAGACTGTGATTCTCAGAATTCTGGTTGTTAAAGTCTTTGCTTTTTGGGTGTTAAGGGACCACCATGGGTATGGGAGTTTTTCCTTAACTGTCTTGGGCTCGTTCTTGGCTCAGTGTTTTGTTCTTCCCTTTATAGCATTTGAAGAAAGAACGGTTTATGGTCCTTGTGGCCCTTCTTACATTTAGGGGCAGCCTTCATATCCTGTTTTTCTCCTCCTCAAACACTTAAGGCAGTTGGTGATTTAAGAAAAGAGAAAAATACAGGGTAGTGAAACCACCCTTTCGGGCGGCTGGTGGTCTTTTCAGGAACTGGCGCTTTCGTCTCCCTGCCTTGATTGTCTTCCCCACCTTCACCTGAGCGGGCACAGTCTTCCTCCAGGAGGGTGCCACCCTCCCGCTTGGCAGTTTGCTCCCAGTCTGACAGTGGAAAAGGCAGAGAGCATGTAACCTTTCACCGCTGCATTCCCAGGAGAGCGGGCTGGTCACTCCTGCCCACTCTGGTCAGTTCTGACTGGCAGCAGATGCCTGAGGATTCAGTCAGGATCCTTTCCTAAGTCCACTGGGAAGACCCCGGTACTTCCTGGTAGGCTCCCATCCAAGGACTAACCAGGTCTAACCCTGCTTAGCTTCCAGAATGGGCTGAGCTCCGGTCAGTTCAGGATGGGAAGGTGGTTCTAAGTGTTCTAGGGTGTTGGTCCCTGGGATTGTGGAGATGGAAAAGGGGGAATATGTTTACCACGCTGAGCTTATGACATCTAGGAGGGTCCTTTCAATCATTCAAAAAGCTGGCCTTCTTTTGACTTCTTCCTCTGTTTCTGTGCAGAATTCCTCCCTTCAGAGTAAAAGGATGCAGACCATAAAGTGTGTGGTTGTGGGCGATGGCGCCGTGGGAAAGACCTGCCTGCTGATTAGCTACACCACCAACGCATTCCCCGAGGAATATATCCCCACGGTGTTTGACAACTACAGTGCTCAGATGACGGTGGACAGCAGGATGGTGAGCCTGAACCTCTGGGACACTGCGGGCCAGGAGGAGTATGACCGGCTGCGCACGCTCTCCTACCCTCAGACCAACGTCTTTGTGATCTGCTTCTCCATCGGGAGCCCCTCCTCGTACGCCAACGTCCGGCACAAGTGGCACCCCGAGGTGTCCCACCACTGCCCCAACGTCCCCATCCTTCTGGTGGGCACCAAGAGGGACTTGAGAAGTAACGCGGAGGCGGTGAAGAAGCTGAAGGAGCAGAACCTGAGCCCCACCACCCCGCAGCAGGGGGCCTCTCTGGCCAAGCAGATCGGAGCGGTCAAATACCTGGAGTGCTCGGCGCTGAACCAGGAAGGGGTGAGAGAAGTGTTTGCCGAAGCGGTGCGGGCTGTCTTGTACCCGGTGACCAAGAAGAACTCCAAGAAGTGCCTGCTGTTGTAGTTGCCACGGCGAGCGGAGCAAAGACTGAGGTCTTGGGACAGTTGCAGGGTCACCTCCCAAATCTAATTGCACCTTGCACTAATGGCTTTAAGAGAGATTTCCTTCAGCAAGTCCTCCGGCGGTTGCAGTGGACAGAAGTGAACATCATCTGTTTTTCAGGTTTAAGCCTGAGCCTGCTTGCCAATTGCTCAGTGACTCTGCTTGTGTCCTCCTCCACCTCTTCTCTCTCCGAGGCAGGCAACGGCTGGGTGACTCCTTCAAAGCCACACTTGATCTCTGCTACACAAGCTTAAGATATGACCCTTCAGAAAGAGACCATGATTAGTCTGGCTTTGCAGGTGGCCACCGCCTCTTCTAGCCATTTCATCAAAATATTCTGTATATTGGCAGAGCTACGCCTTTCCAAATAAGCCGCTTTGCCATAGCCTGTTCAGAGACACCTCCACTGTGGCATGCAGGGTGCCTTAAATATGCCATAGAGAGAATAACGGATGTCAGAAACCAAGAGGGCTGGGCAGCTCCAGAGAGGCTTGTAATGAAATTAAAACCAGTCCGTGGCCCTCCTTGGGACACTACTTGTAGGCCTGTGGACTTGTGCACAGATTGGGAATAAGCCCATTGGGAGTGTTCAAGACCAGCTTTAGACTATAAAGCTTTCTGCCCTTTCCTTAGGAAAAACGTCCCTCTTCCGCATCAGTAAGCCTAGGCATTCTTTCACAGACCTTTTAAAGAGGAAAGGTTGGCCCTGCCTTCCCTAGGAGGTGCTCCCAGGGGTTTCCTTAGCACGCTACAGACTCCCATGATGATTCGACCAGGCCTGTCCCCTTGAAACTTCGATTATATGTGCCTAATGTTTTTGCAGAAGGACGAGTTGTGTGCAGGCCGTCTGTCCCCTTAAAGGCAGTGGATTGGCTCGACTTCCAGCCCTTCAGGTACCGCGGAAGTTTCTGTGCCGTGGCCCACCTGTCTTCTCCACCAAAAGGCATGGTGGTTGTTTGA